ACTTTGCATATTCTTAAGAGCACGGAAAACTTCTTCAGCAGCTATTGGTTCCTCCAGTTTAAGACTATGACTTTGGTCTAATACAGGAAAAACAAGATTATCACAGAAGGAATCAAACAACGAAATATCAAGTGCACATTCAGACACATATAGGGACGAATAAAACTTTTGAAAATGGTCATTAATTATTTGTGGATCAGAAGACACGCCTTTATGAGTTCGAATCTGTGGGATGAGATGTGTCGCGGATGCGGTGCGAAGTTGGTGAGAGAGTAGCTTACTGGCCTTATCTCCATATTCATATTGGGCATGTTGTGACCTCAAAAGCAAATCCTCAACTTGCACTGACAATATGCGATCAAACTCAGACTGTAAAGACTTCTTTCGTTGAACACTTCTGGTAAGGGCGAGACTGCGTATAATTCATCTAACTGCAAAATTCGAGTTGTGAGTTCTGACAACTTAGTCTTTCTCTGCTTAATTTCAAAATGCTGTATGATATTATATGTCCTCGTATAAAGGCCTTAAACGTCTCCCACAGGAGAGAAGGTGAAGTACCCGGAGTATCATTTGTGGAAATAAAGAGGTCAATTTTAGACGTAACAAAGGCAACAAACTTGTCATCAGACAACAAACGTGTGTTTAAGCGCCAAGGAACAAGAGAGGAGGAGCCACCTCCCACCAATAGGTCCAACACCACTGGAGCATGATCTGAAATTACAATAGCATTGTGAGAACAAGATCGAATGTGAGGAATCAGTCGTCTATCCAAAAGGAAGTAGTCAATTCGAGTGTATGTATGATGAACCGGGGAAAAAAATGTGTATTCTTTACGAGTGGGGTTAAGAAAGCGCCAGACATCAATGACAGAAAATTCTTCAAGAAAATTATTGACAACTTTAGAGGAATGCGATTGCCTGTTAGGATTATTCGATGACCGATCCAGCCGATCCAACCAACAGTTCAGATCGCCAGCCAAGACAAGAAACTGTGAGGATAAATCTGGAATTTTGGTAAAAAAAGAACTAAAAAAATTATGATCGTCCCAATTGGGTGCGTAAACATTAGCTAACACTAGTTTTGTATCAAAGATGCTCCCACAAACAATAATGTATCTACCATTTGAGTCAGAAATAACGTTAGAAGACACAAATGGTACTGATTTATGAATCAAAATGGCAGCACCTCGAGATTTACCTTGGAAAGTTGAATGATATAATTGGCCAACCCAGCCCTTCCGGAGTTTCGAGTGATCTGAAATTTTTAAATGGGTTTCTTGTAAAAACACAATTTGAGAACCCAAATGTTTTAGATGATGAAGCACTTTACTCCTTTTAATGGGTTGATTTAAACCCTTACAATTCCAGCTACAAAACTTAAAAACTTGACCTTTTTGCAGATTACCAACATTAGAATGTGACATCTTTCAATCTGTATAGAGAGTAAAAAAAAGAATGACCCATTGCTAGCACATGAAGACCAAATGACACATGAAAAAAACAAAACAGAAGAACAACATTAGAACTTACCCCTAGTTGCTGAAGCATCTTCCCAAACAAGATGCGCGCATAACCCCCTTTACTTCCTACTAGGTACCTCTTACCCCGCATCCACAAACCCAGTAGAACTCAGGCTCCCTCCAGTGCAAAACAGGAACAAAATGTATTAATCAAAATAACATTCAAGTACAAAAGTAAACATATTTTTACAAATTTCAAAACTATATTTTTGTAAACACAAACACAAATAATACAATGAACTAATAAAATATAAAAATCTGAAAAATATATTTAAGTATAAAGTAGTTCAAAAAATATATAAAAAATAGAAAATACTAACAAGCACACCCTACATCTTTATGAAACCAACGGTTTCCAGTTAGATTGTCGTTTTAACAATGTAAATCAAAAGGAAGGAACACCAGCCTCAAACCATGTTAGTCAGCAGCCCTTACTCCCAGTGTCTTACTTATAAAGTCTGTGGCAGCTTTGGGATCGGAGAATCTACGCACAGCTCCATCCGGTAGTGTGATTCTCAACTCAGCAGGGTAGAACAGACCAAATTTGATGCCAGGGCAGGAGTGTAGGAGACGTTTAGCGTTCACAAATTGAGAACGTTTCTTGGCCACAGCTGACGTAAAGTCTGGAAAAATGAAAATTTTCCTGCCCTGATAAAGAAGAGGTGCAGCAGCTCCTGCCCGCCGCAGAATCTGTTCCTTCACGTGAAAATAGTGCACTCTGATGATTATTGGTCGAGGTGGGGCCCCTTCTTTTGGTTTTTCCCTGCTAGATCTATGAGCTCGGTCCAGAAGTGGCACCTCCTCCAACCTCAGCAGGTCGCGCAAAAGTTGTGAGATGAATTCTCTAGTATTAGGCAGCTCCAGTCCCTCAGCCAGCCCGATGAGACGAATGTTGTTCCTCCTTGACCTTCCCTCCAGATCCTCACATTTAGACTGTAGTTGTTTTACTTCCTCAGCCAAATCACATACAGAGGCCTGAAGTGACGTCAACTCGTCACTGCAAGAAGTGGCGGAAACCTCGAGGTCTTTAATGGTGGCCCCCTGAGTTTCCACCAAAGTTTGGATGGAGTTCACATTAGCTTTGAGCTCAGCCTTCACAGATAGAATTTCTGACCTTAATGTGAGGGTAAGGGTATCCATCTTCGAGTCAAATGTACCGCAAATGTCCTGCTTCAGACCCTGCAGCGCTCTGGTGAATGTTGCCTCACTGAGCGGAGCATCTGAACCATGCTCGTCCTCCTCCAGCTGCACCTCTTCCCGACGCGGAGCACCCGACCCAGAGCTCGTGTCAACAGTAGTGCGTCTCTGGCGAGTCGCCTTCTGGTTCTTATTATCCATTTCACGGGGATATCACGACTTTAAACAACTAAAAAAGTCTAAGACAGTCCCGATAGAAACAAAGTTTGAGCACACGATGACGTCACAGTTCAGCGACACCGGCGCGCACTGCTAATGCTTAGCTGTAGCACCAAATACCATCCAAGGACGAAAATCACTCTTCAATGCTCACCCGTGCACGCAGTAGTATCGGTCCTGGTGTCACAATGCAAAGAGCAACATTTCAAGCCAGAGGAGAAGAACAGAGTTGGTGTCGGGCTCGGGTCGGGCGTTATTAGCTGTAGCTAGCTGCTGCCAATGCTAACTAGCAGGGCTCGAGGTGACGGCCGCGGCCTGTTGTAAAAAGTCCTCAAAAAGTAGCTCAGTGGCCGAAAAGGTGTCAAACGACGAAGGGACTAAACGTGCATTATAATACCCATATACGAGGCTGATTTATAAGTGGCGGTGTGCTTTAAAATAAAATATTTGTCCCCGTTGTTGCGGAGCCTCGAGAAGCACGTCTTCACTCCATGGTGTCCAACAGCGCCCCCCCATTCTTCAATTTTTGAACCGTATTAGCAGATTGCTGCTTTTTAAGTCTCAGTGCTAGCAATCTACTGGCCTTATTTCCATTTTCGTAGTATTTTTGTTTAGTGAATCTCAAGTTACCCTCTATTTATTCTGTAATCAGACTGTCAAGTTCCTTCCGCAATGATTTGAGTTCACTGAGTAGATTTGGGGTTTGAGTTCTTTTATGTTTTTGTTCTAGGTTTGTTATCTTACCCTCTAGCTCTCGCCGTCTAGCCTCATTTTTCTTTTTCTTGGCACAAGCAAATGATATTATACGGCCTCTAAGATAGGCCTTAGCACAATCCCATAAAATAAGAGGTGATATCTCAGGTGTGGAATTTAATTCTAAATAAGTGTCTAATTCACTAGTAATAAAATTACAAAATTCCTTATCGTTAAGGAGTGAAGCATTCAATCTCCAGTGTTTAACTTTTGGTGTTTGACACACATCCCATTTTAAAACCAGAGGGGCATGATCGGACAATGTAATTGGTAAGATGTTGATGTCCTCGATTCGGTGTTCTTCAGCTTTTGGAGTGAAAAACATGTCTATTCTTGAATAAGAGGAGTGCCTAGGTGAGTAGAAGGTGAAGTCTCTGACCCTTGGAAACCGATTTCTCCAAACATCGATCAGGCCCAGTTCTGTGGTGAGACGTTTCAGTACTCTGCTCATTTGAGAAGCAGGGCTTTTGGAACTGGGCTGGCGGTCCATGTAGGGCGACATCATACAATTAAAATCACCAGCGAGTAATAAGACACCGACACTCTTTTGAAGCAGTATGTCAAAGATATTTTGTATGAATTTGGCTTCATCCTCATTTGGAGCGTAGATATTGAAAAGTGAGACCTGCACCCCATCAATTTCTCCATTTACCATGATATATCTACCCTCAGGGTCTTTGTGAATATATTGAGGGGTAAAATTCACTTGTTTATGTACTAAGATGGCCACTCCTCTCCTTCTACCTGAGCAGTGGGAAGAATAAAACACTGCCCATGATCTCTTAAGCTTGTCATGCTCACCATCAGAAAGGTGTGTCTCCTGTAAATATGCAATGTGACAACCCTCTTTTTTGAGTTGGCCAAGAATTTTTTTTCTCTTAATTGGCCCGTTGAGTCCTTTAACGTTATAACTAATGACCTTGAGAGAGTTCATTATTGATTTTTTGAGCGTATGGTTGGGAGAGTTTTACCTTAGTATATACAGAGAGATGCATTTCTCTAAGCTGTTTTGATCTTTTTGCATAGCATAACAAAGCAAATAAATAATAAACATTGATTGCAAATAAGGATTCTTGTGATTTGAAACCTATCAATCGATCCCTGTGGAACATTGGGATCCAAACAGGAACAAAAAAACTGTAAACTTGTAATAGGTCCCTGAGCGCAGAAGTCCTACATTTTGATATTGCCATCAAAGGTGAACTTACAAGCAGTTCAGGGTATAGGCCGTGCGAGCAGTCCCACTACACAACTAACAGTGTGAATACACAAAAATAAGCTAGAAAAAATGAAAACCAGGCTCTGCTTTACTTGGAAATAATAGACACTTTGTTATATGAAGTACTCACAAAACTTTACCTCCTCGTTTATGTCAGTTCAGTCTCTGTTCGCCGTCCTCTCGGGGAAACAGAATGATTTTCTTGACATAGTCCATGGCTTTAGTTGCATCTACGAACTCCTTCTCCACGTTGTTGTGTGTGACCCGGAGCCTAGCAGGAAAGAGGATTCCGTACCGGACTCCCGGCTTATCACGGAGCATCCTTCTGACTTCAGTGAAGGCTGCCCGCGCCTGGTTGTGTAGTCGGGGAAGACGGCGATAGGGCTTCCTCTGTACCGGAGCTGACCACCTCCGCTGCGCGCTCTCCTCAGGATGTCCTCGGCGTCCCCCTCGCTGTTGAGCCTGGCAATGATGACGCGTGGTCTGTCCCCAGCATTACGCACAGGTCCGATGCGATGAGAGCGCTCCACACGCACCTCTCTGTCAAGTCGAAATACTTCTTTCAAGAGAGAGGAGACCGCCTCTGGTGTACTGGAGCCCTGCACCTCACACTGCATGAAAAGTGTGATTTTCGTCTCTTTTCGGCCCTGTATATTACTGTGAAACTTCTGGGATTCGGCAGTTTGTTGTCCCCTCCTCCCTCCTCCACAGGAGGCTTTAACATGTAAATGGGAATGCTGTGAGCTATACAAATGCTAATCAGGGTTGAGGGGGAGCATAACTTGATCCATGCTGCACAACTACTTTCAGTCAGTCTGCACCTTGGATCAGGTCACACACTGTAGACCCGGATTTTGTAAATGCTCAAACTGTTTACACACACACACACACACACACACACACACACACACACAACATCAGATAAATATTTGATCATGATTGATTATAGCTTGTCATGTCAAAATCAATTAAATAAATCCAATGGACAAAAGACATGTTGAAAGTGTAAGTGCTCATCAAAGGATATATGTATGTACAGTACAGACCAAAAGTTTGGATTTGTTATTTTTTTTCATGACTATGAACATTGTAGATTCACACTGAAGGCATCAAAACTGAATTATGTACATACCTAAAAGAAAAAGTATGAACCAACTGAAAATATGTGTTATATTCTCGGTTCAAAGTAGCACCCTATATATATATATATATATATATATACATATATATATATATATATATACACACACACAAACGGCTGTTGGTGTTATCATCACTCTCTTTACACAACCAAAACTTGGGGCTTCACAAACTGAATGCGCATGTCGCGCATGCGCAAAACGCAAGGAAATACTTTGCCTGAAGTCGACGGTGGAGTCTCGTGGAACGTGAAGAGAGGACTCTTTTGAATGTACGGTAAGTGTTAAGACACGTTGTTCATTTTTATAAAGGTACACTCAAAAAAATGAATAGCGGCTATTGTTGGTTTTACTTAATAACATTAAGTAGAATTTACTTTAAAAAAAAAATTTCTTCACTTTTTTCAACACCATTGAGTAAATATAATGAAGTACTTTCAATTAAAATGATAACTCAAGACGGCTGGTTAGAGAAAACTTAATTGTTTTAAGTACAACATTAGGTTTGTCTTTCAGGGCTTGTGGCAACTGCTAGCTCAAATGCACTTTGTATTAATTTTATTTTTTACATGTTTTTAAATTTATTTTAAAATGTTTTAACAAACAATAAAACACACAAACATACATTAAGAAACAAACATAAAAAACGGTGTCTTATACTGTCCAATGAACTGTTGCTCACCATTTGTCTTTTTAAAATCATTATTATTCATAATAAATGTTATTATACAATGTGACAAACATGTAGTACTTGACAAAGACAAAAAAGTTGTCGTGTTTCTAACTTCTGTGGGACATGATTTCACAAAAAAGGTAATTAAATATTGTACTGTTATCAAAAAAATCACATTCACATTATGAGTTTGATTACTATAAAATGTATGTTTGAATGTGCTGTAAAGTATATCAAATAACTTTGAGTTTTTCAAAGATTCTTGAAAAGGTTGCGTATTTATTATGAACTAAATTCAAATTATTGGAATTACTGAAGTCTACTGGCCTGGAATTACATGTTTAATAAAGTGTACCAAGTTTGGTCCCGATTTGTTGCCGTAGCTGACTTCCGCTTACGTCACGTGCAATACTGTGACACGCATGCGCACCATGGGATTCCACAACGTGGACTGGGGCCGTCTGGAGGACTCGTTTTCTAGCCATCATAAGGTACTTTTATTTACTTTGCATTGATATTTTTCATGACATTTCGCTGCTAACTAATCAAACTGTCAAAGGTGTATGTATTTATTAGGCTCTCAGCGAACCTTATCAGTAATCTGCCGACGTACCGCCATTTTGTTCGTTACTATACTTTACATAGTATGCCCTTTCATCAGTCAGAAGACATTTTACATGAGTTTTATAGAAAATATAGGGCTGCTGCATGTCCGTGGCACTGGCACCGGTGTTCGAACGCGCCTGGAGCAGAGGGACACAGTGTTTGTGCTCGGGTCGGGTTCAAACACAATGGTACCACTCGCGGTTCTGCTCGCAGTGGTGAGGAATGTGGACGTGGATGTGTAGATGTCGATGAGAGAGCGCTGCCACGCGTTATCGCCATCTTGAGCGGGAAGTTCGTCAACCCGTTTATAATCTATTTCTAATTTGTACTTATTCAGTCTAAATGGCGAGCATGGACGAGGTGCACAGAGCAGACTCCGAAGAAAGAACCGAAGGAAAAGCAGTTTGTGCTCATGGCAGAGCCTGATGTACAGGAGACTGTGGACTAGAGTTCTGTGGAATATCTAACATATATCATTTGTTTTGCACTGTTCCTGTCTTTGTTTGAGCGCTAAGACTTTCACTTTTATTACTGTACTTTTTCATCTCATTTGTCACTGTTGTCTTTCTGTTCATTTTTTGTTTTTTTTATTAAGTCCATTGCTTAATAATGTTGTTGAGTGAATCTAGACCTCCTTTAAACACATTTGAGCAAAAATCATGTGATATTGTTTTATATATATTGATTATTCTTTTTTTTCTTACAGCGTGTTGCAGTCCGACAACAAGAAATTGTCATTTCTGCCCCACCTGTGGAAAATGTCAAAGCGCGCTGGCCAGCACTTCATACAGAGAGACAGGTGTGTACATATTTTTTACAACTATGCATTTAACTTGAAGTGTTTTAACTTGAAGTGTTTTATGTTTTTTTTTTTTTTTTTTTGCAGGTCCTGGCAGAATTTAACCAGATCACCAGCTCCAAACTGGGCAATGATTTCGTTGAAGCATTGGATTGCCTAACGACTAGGGATGTAAAAAACTATGAATTTTCATGACCGACTAACGAGACTCATTAACCGGTTGAAACCGGTTAACCACGTAGTTTAAAATAGTCCATGTTCTTTGAAATAACAGCCATTTCGAGCCGCATACTTTTCATAAGTGCAGCTCTGCGTTCTACTGGGTCATAGCCGAGACAGCAGCACCAAAACCCGCAACAGCTTCGGCACCTTTGCGCACAGAGAACTGCTTTTTTAATCTTCCCATTCTGCTGTGCTGCGGGTTAAAGCATTTTAATCAAAAGACTGCTCGTTCACATGGTCAGAGCAGCGAGTGACGCGCCGCGTCTCGCAGGCTTCCGCTCAAGTTAATATATACAGTCTATGGTATGTGTATGTGTGTGTACAATACATGTATGTGTGTGTGTAAATATAAGCTCCAATGTAGTTCTGATCTGCACATATATATGTGATATATATATCACATATATATGTGATTGCTCTGTGTGTGATAACTTTCTGTAAAGCATGGAACTGCTGCAGGAGCGTGGACGAGGCGCTCAGAGCAGACTGCTTCGAAAGAACCGAAGGAAAAGCAGTTTGTGCTCATGGCAGAGCCTGATGTACAGGAGACTGTGGACTAGGGTTCTGTGGAATATCTAACATATATCATTTGTTTTGCACTGTTCCTGTCTTTGTTTGAGCGCTAAGACTTTCACTTTTATTATTGTACTTTTTCATCTCATTTGTCACTGTTGTCTTTCTGTTCATTTTTTTTTGTTTTGTTTATTAAGTCCATTGCTTAATAATGTTATTGAGTGAATCTAGACCTCCTTTAAACACATTTGAGCAAAAATCATGTGATATTGTTTTATATATATTGATTATTCTTTTTTTTGCTTACAGTTGCAGTCCGACAACAAGAAATAGTCAATTCTGTCCCACCTGTGGAAAATGTCAAAGCGCGCTGGCCAGCACTTTATACAGAGAGACAGGTGTGTACATATTTTTTACATCTATGCATTTAACTTGAAGTGTTTTATGTTTTTTTTTTTTTTGCAGGTCCTGGCAGAATTTAACCAGATCACCAGCTCCAAACTGGGCAATGATTTTGTTGAAGCATTGGATTACCTAACGACACAGTTCATCAAGCTCTTTAAGGTCAAAAGGGGGTCTGCTGGCGCTAAGCTTTCCAAGATTGTCCGGCACCTCGATTCCTGTGTAAGTTCATAAAGCAATAACAAAAAGAAATGACATATGATTGTGTTTGGTGTTGTAATGCACATATGTACAGCAGAGGAGATGGGAAAAGGAGAAGGGTACACATCAAAAGAGGTACTGCTGCATTTTGTATCCTAAGATTTTTGGTACAATTGTAGATTGTCATTTTACATTTTCCACGTGTTTGTAGATGGTGGAACTGCAGGAAAACCCTGGTGACCGAGAGATCCTTAAAGATTATAATTCTGTGAGATCACTAAGTCACCGCTCTCGAAGACAACTTGTCGACCTTCTCGTCAGTGACATGAGTGAAACACATGGGTATGTTGTATCCCTCAGTTATTACTCAAAAGTTCCTTCTTACAAGTGGAAGGATATTTACTCAAAATAAAATGAAAATCACTTGAAAGACCTTTCACAATAATCACGTAACAATTCAGTTTCTCTCAGCACTGTTATTGATTCCCCATTGTAAGATAAATAGTACTGATCTCTTTTATAAATGACCTAGGTAGATGTTCTCCTGTAGATTATCTCTTGGTTTGGTCCCCGTGAAAATATGTACTTGTAGATACTATTAATTTAGCCTTTTTATGTAACCATGAAGTCCCTTGACCATGAGTGTTTTTTTCTCCTTAGACAAATGCCTTCCCGAAAACAAAAAAGCTATGCTCTTAGAATTATCACACTTTTTTCATTGAAGGATCCATTTTCTCAAAAAGGTTATGTAAGTATTGTTAATGTATCCATGGAAATTGAATTTGGTTTACCTACACGTTTTGTGTAGATAATGGATATGTATAGATACCAATCATAACTGTACACTTTGTTTTCAGACTAATCTAGCCTCGTAATGAGACGGTGACCTCCTATTTGCTTAACACAATATCTGCAATACAATGTGAACAATAAGTCCACATTTCCACGATGTTGATAAAGACGACATTGTGTGTAAGTGTTTTACTGTTTCTCCCTTTAACCTGGTTTTAAACATTGTCAGAGAGGAGCTGTCACTTTAGCTGTGCTACAACTGAGGGATTTTATATTTATCTTTGTTAATGTACTGTGATTATTTATTTTAATGCTTTCTTATTTTGCTCAGCACTTCGAGTTGCCTTGTGTATAAATTGTGCTAGACAAATAAACTTGCCTTACCATCGTACTTCCTGGTTCTGGTTAGGACTTGAGCTGCTGCATTTTGAATGCAGCTGTTGTTACAGTAGTCTAACCTACTGGAGACAAATGCATGGATAAGAATCTCCAGGTCTGCTTTAGACACTATGTTTAGATGGGGAAAAAGGATTTGATGTGGCTAATAATATTTACTGATTCTTTCAGCCGCTGGAATCGAGTGTGCTAGAAAGTGACAAAGTGGAACTCTGGAAGTCCGCCACGGTAGACCTAATGTCCAATGAAGAAGAAGGCGTTGTGGACGGTGTCTCTGGATGGATTGTGCGGTCGCAGTCTTTTCGAAAGCCGGAGTTTTCTGAACTCTGTCAAGCTGCAGTCCTGGTTAGAGGCGGCGCGGAAGTACAGAGCCACGCACATTAAGCGTCTATCTAGAACCCTGCCAAATTACAACCCCGAGGAGGCTATTGGACAGTTCAGAGTTGTAATTTTTTAATTACCTATGTGTGAGCATAAAGCTGTGTGTGTGTGTTTTAATAAAGCTTTCTTTGTATGAACATATTCCTGGAAAATTTTCATTTCTTCTATAAATAATACGAATATTTATATAAATATTATTACATTAATTATGAGGCAGGGTGACCAATAGTGACAGATCTGCCAGCCAATCACGAGAGATTATACTTATTTGAAAGTAGTGATTTCATCCAATGGGGAGTAAGCTACCAATGGGGAGTAATCCCACGTGGGCTGGCCACGTGTGATTTTTCAGCCAATCACGAGTTTGAAAGTAGTGGTATCTGCCAATGCTGAATAGCAGCCTGGCCAGACGCTGCATTCATATGCTAATTAGGGCCATTAGCGCTCGGACGGCCGCAGTGTTTCGCTGCATTCATATGCAAAGTAGGGACATTAGCATGGTACGGATGCGGCAGTTTGGAGGACAGGGCACCCTAACTGCGCCTTCTGAAAACTGCCTGAGATACCCGAAAAAGAGCGTGATTTCCTGCAGTTTAGGGTGACGAAAATCTAACTTTTCATGCAGTGTCACTCACCCCCGACACTGATATTTCCCCTCCGCATGCGCCCCTCCATGTCTTCACATTTCTCCTTAAGCCTCTTTACTTCTGCTTGGAGATCAGACACTTGACCCTGTGCTTGTATCATCTCGTCAGACATGGTGGACATGTGGTCTTCTACTGATCTCACGTTAGCTTTTACCTGGTCTACCTCCGCCCGGAGAGCTGCGGTCTTGTTCTTAATCTCAGTTTTTACGTCTTCAATCTGCGTTTTAAGTGATTCAAAGTTGTCGCGGAGTGCTTCTCTCATTTCACCTTTGATAATCGCTGAGAAGTCTTGGCGTAGTGAGGCTAGGATGTCCGCTTTGATTGTTTCTGGGTCCATGATGCTAGAGCTAGCCTTTGGAGCTTTCGTTGCTTGGCTAGCGGGTGCGTGGGCGGAGGGAGCTGGGTCACTCAAACTTTTCACCGAGGCTGCGCTGGGCTTTGGGCTGGAGGAGGCCTCAAACTTGTATTTTCGTAGATTTGCGGCCATAAATGCACCGTGCGTGGTGTATCTGGCACCGTAGCAATAGGTAACACGTTTAGAAAGAGATTTATCGTGCAGGGAGGTAACTTGCGTGTCTTTTAAGTTGGAATTTTACTAAATTAGCAGGAGCTCTGGAAGGTGCGTCTTTACTCCATCGCGCTCGCTAGCGCCCCCCCGTTTTGCCATTTTTGATGGGTATCTGAAAGTAAATTTTACTGTGATGCTGACGACTGCTGTGCCAAAAAATATTGAAATGAAGCAGCCTACTGCTCGGTGCGTCACCGTTGCATTGTGGGAAATGTAGTATTGGTGCGTGTAAAAGATCTGCGGGCTGCCGGCTTGCTGCGGTCTGCGGGCCGGTTCTAATAATAAATCAAGATCATCCCAGGGGCCGTAAAAAACCTTCTCGCGGGCCGGATGTGGCCCGCGGGCCTTGGCTCTGACATGTGTGCTGTAAAGGAATCTACTGAAGAAGAGGCATCTTCAGCACCAGTTCTGAGAAGGTCTGGACGTCAGACTAAGAAGCCTGATAGACTGATGTTGTGAATGTGTTAACCACATTTTATTGTTTTTATTGTTGTTTTTCCGTGTGATCACTGGTCATCACTTAAAAAGAAAAAAAAACGATCTTAAAAAAAAAAAAAAAAAAAATCTGTTTTTGCACTTGGTGATATAAAAAAAAAAAGTAACAGTGAGCTAAGCTAAATAACATGTTTACAATGTTTTATTCTTTGCATTGTGTAAGGATTCTGACTTTAAAGAAAGGGGGATGTCTTGATATGCATTCAATGTCATGCATTTTACCAGCCTGATGGTGTCCCTAGTGAGTCAAGTCAGTGGATGTCAGTCAGAGAGCACAAAGTAAGAGAGCACTTCCTGTGATAACAGATGTTTGTTGGACATGCAATTAAAGCTGAGCACAAGCTCATCTGTTAATTTGAAATAACTTGTTTGGGAGTTTGTTTTGATGAACAACACACCACCAACTTAAATAATTACATTGAGAATAAATCTTTTTGAGTATATTCAACGAGGCTGTATCCGAATGTCCACACTATACCCTATTCACTCACTCACTATATAGTTCGGGACTATATAGCGACTGAGTGAGTGAGTCAGTGCACTCATTCTGTTGGCGATTCGGACAGCTGCACACTATTTTTAGCCGCGGCCCACATCACACCCCTGTCACATGTCATTGGATCAATATAATTTTATATATAAATAAAAGTATATTAAAATATCAATATTTGTCTAATATTGATATTTGATGTATAAAATGTTTTTACAATTTATATTCATATTTATGAATTTTGGTTGACGTCTTTCATATTCCCGCCACCTGACCGGCTCCTCTAACACCGGTGAAATGGCACCTCCACTGAATTTTGCGGTGTTTTTCATAACTATTATACAAGTTATCATAATGCGAATTAAACACCGCCAAACAGAGAGAAGGCGAAGACAGGCGATGAGGGCGAGGAGGAGAATGGCTCTTCGTTCATTAGCAGGGCGTCGTGTAAGTATTGTATTCGTCCTTTGTCTATATAGCATTAGCACCATCTACTGGGTAAATTATAGTACTTTTGGTGTACTTACTAATTCAAAATACTATTCTCAGTCAATGAGAAACACATTAGTCATATACATTTAGACATATTTCAACAAGAAAACACATTGTATAGACACACTCACTTAAAATGCAAGAACATTAAAATATTTTATTGGTTGAAAGAACACAAAACCATAGCAAGGGAAATGGATTAAGTACTCATTTTTTCTAAATGAAAAATGAGTACTTAATCATTAAACAATAATAGAATTTGCGTGGCCATGGGGCACAGGGCTTCTGTGATTTTTTTGTGTGTTATTAGGTGCGAGTGATGTAGTGAGGGTTTCTACTTCAGTTGTCTCAGGGCAGCTCCAGCTCCCTGCAACACACAATACATTTGGCAAAATCAATGCCAGGGCACAAAAGAACATGACTTCAGCTATATACTCTTCATTTTTATTTACATTTTTAAATCTCAAAATGAAAAATGAGTACTTATTCCTGTGTCTGCACTCATAACTAAAAGTGCAGATACAGAATTAAAAAATGAATCTAGAAGTATCATATTAAGTTTAAGAGAATTTTTGTTTTGTTTTAGGGTGTACTGCCGACTGAACCACCATGTACCCCTACTCAGCATGTACTTAAATGGCCAGTCTGACCTTCGCCCCGATTTTCGTCTCACTCGAACCACCATCACCCGTCTGGTTAGCCACCTGAGGAGTGCTCATCACCAGGGCTGGAGCCAGGACATGGAGGTTTTGGTCTTCCTCTTTTGGTTGGCCAGTGGCACCGCGTACCGTGTTGTCGCCAGGGCATTTGACATGCCCCAGTCCACAGTCCACGATGTGATCCACAGGGTGGCCAACCAGATCCTTCAAATGCGTGGCCAAATAATTCATTTCCCTTCCCTGGAGGAACTTCCCCAAGTTGCAGCTGGGTTTCAGTTGCTGGCTGGATCAGCTGCTCTCAATAATGTTGTGGGGAGCATCGACGGCTGCCACATTAGAATAAAGCCCCTTCAAGAGAATGCACAGTGTTATTTTAACAGGAAATTGTTTTATTCCATTCAAATGCAGGCTGTGTGTAATCACCGTGGCTTATTTATTGATTTGTTTGTTGGCTACCCCGGATCTGTGCACAATTCTCGAGTGCTTAAAAACAGCCCCCTCTACGTCCACCGGCTCTATCCCCCAAATGGACACGTCCTCCTTGGGGATGGTGGCTACCCTTGCCTCCGTCAGCCCATCACACTCCTCACTCCATACAGAGAGCCTGTTCGGAGCCCAGTGGAAGCCCGCTTCAACCGGCACCATGCACGGACACGATCTGTAATAGAGAGAGCGCTTGGCATGATGAAGGCAAGATGGCGATCCATTTTTTTTAAGGCACCGGAAGTCCAACCCACCTTTGCAGTCGAGGTGACTGCCTGTTGCGCCATCCTGCACAACATCTGCGTCAGCGATGGTGATCTCTGGGAGCCAGTGGAAGAGGAGCCAGGGCCTGATGATGAGCAGGACCAGCATCAGCAGCACCAGCCTGATCAGCAGGGTGGACAGGAGCTGCGTGGACAGGAGCTGCGTGGACGGATGGCAGCAGCACTTTCCGCCCCAAGGGAACCAGCTCTTCGGGACCACGACTATTAATTAAATGTTTGAATAATCTGTGTTTTGGCCTATTTAAATAAAAACAAAAACAATTGAATATGTAAATATCTAAAAAGAAATTGTTGAATGTATGTATAGTTCTTTACAAATGTCTAGTTGATTAAAATTTTTTTGTGTAAATAGTGTTCATCATTGTATGTCGATATGCATATAGTTCAAACTACACTTATCAAAATACATTTTTATTTATAATTTCTCCACTATTCTCTCCAACAAACTCAACAGTCTCTCCTCTCTCTCTTCCTCTCTTCTTCCCCTCTCCTCTTCTCGCTTCTCCCTTTCCTCTTCCTTCTTCTCCACCTTCTCCAAAAAACTTATCAAACTCTCCCTTCTCGGCCTCTTGGCTGCCACTCTTTCCTCTTCCTCTTCCTCTATCTCCTCTGGCTGTACGGGGGGAGGGGGTTGTTCCACAGATGTGGAAGCAGCATCCCCCATGGATGAGGCAATCAGGCAGGGAGGCTGCACAGATGGCCTGCTGCCTATCACCTCATCCATGAGGGAGTACCACTTCCAAGATATGGCGGTAGGCTCCCCTCCTTCTGTCCCTGTCCCTGTCCGTGGCTGTCTGAGCTCCTTAAAACAGTGAGTTTTATGTAATATATGCTTCACAAATTACACACAAAGCTTCAAAGAAACAAACCTTGTAGGTCTTTTTCAGGTTCTCCCACTTCTTGGCCGCTCTGGCAGGGGTGATCAGGCGGCTCAGCCCCATTTCCTTTATCACTGCCCTAAAGTAACGATACATAAAAGCATTTGAATACGAGTAGACGTTTTTTGAATAAGTATTCATTCATAATGGTCATACTCCCATCCAGCCGCCGATGCAAAACGGCGGCCTGAGAACAGGCCGCCGTTTTTCATCCGTAGTCGGATGAGCCTCTCCACATCAGTGTCTGTCCCTTTAGAAAAACATTTAACACAATAAATGCTACACGTATAACACAAGTGCTTTAATAACATTAATGACTGACCACCAGTGACCCGTTTCTGTAGCGTTAGCTTGAGATGTTAATGTTATGATACGCAAAAATGCTAACATTTTTTGCGGCATAACATTGGTACGTTGTTTCGCATTAAAAGGCAATGGTATTCTGACTTCAAATGTGTATTTTGGCAGCTTATCGTCAACAATATATCACGGTTTACACATTTCCATATTTATGATGATCAAAAACTCACATTTATAGCTCATGTCCCGCTCCTGTTCCAACACGTCTCTCGCTGCCTCCGCCATTTTACTTCCATATAGTGACCATCGCTGCTCACTACATTTTTGAGATGCATTGTGGGAAAATTCCAGTGCACTACTTGTTCTCTCTGGACATTCGGACACCCCTACAAAATGGCGTGACCACTATATAGTGCACTATATAGGGTATAGTGTGGACATTCGGATACAGCCCGAGTGATTAATCACTCAGGAATACGTAATCTTTATTCAAAAACCATCTTTCACAGTTCAGATTCACAAGGCGGTTTAAAATTGTTAATTTCATGCAGTAGTCTCTCACTCCACATATATATGGGAGTGGACCAGCACAGTCACCGGTAAATATTACCACTTTAAATATTTGTTCTGAGGACGACACAGGTATACGGCTGCTTTTTATTGGCTTGGTTGAATTGGTTGAAATTGAAAAAAAAATTCCTATACATAGTTCCCACAGACCAATGAATGTCACATGACCTCCTCGGAGACGCCATCTTTGATGGCACGCTGCTGTGTTTGTGCATTCCATTAAACAAAAGAATGAGAATAAATGTAGATATTCAAACGCAAATTGGAA